GAGGCACAAAGAGGCTGGGAAACACACTCTCACCTGATGTTCTGTAATATTTCTTTCTCTCTACGAAAGTTGGGGGTGGTCTGTAGCCTTCTAGGGGGACCTTTTTAAGCAGTGGGAGGCAGTGGGGTCTCCTGGTGATGGTTATAGGCTCATGCGTCAGACAGAACTGGACTGCAGTCCCATGCTAGCCCAGCAGCAATCTTCACCTGCTGGAGCCTTGATCTCCTCTTCTGCAAAATGGGATGAGAGGGCGTGGAGGCCTCCAAGAAACTGCTGCTGAAGCTAGGGGATGGGACACTCTCATGCAATTTTCTGCCATTTCATTAGTTTGCTTATTGACTAAAGGAGTCTTTTTTTTCTTTGAAGCTTTGGGAGTTGGAGTTTATAAATCAGAAATTTTAATTTGAGTGCTCAGAATGTAGGCTCCTTTAGTTAATTTGACCACACCACTCAGCTATCACTGACACTGAAATCCCTTCTTTCATCTACGGCCGCACCTAAGCTTCCCTTGTAGAGTTGCCAGGAAAAACACAGGATGCCTGGTTAAATTTGAATTTCAAATAAGAAATAAATAAATTTTTAGTATCAGTAAGTCCCATGAAATGTTTGGGGGCATGCGGATACTGAAAAAAATGATGCATTGTCTGAAATTCGATTTTAACTGAGTGCCCTGTATTTTTCTTTGCTCTATCTGGCAAACGTACCACCTGGCCATGGGGGGAGGGGAGGCCTCAGGGCACCCTAGTTGGACTTGGCCCCATTAGTGACTGTGATTATGATTTGTTTATTGGCAACCGCTCTGTGCCGGGCACCGTGCTGGGCTCTTGGCCTCCACCTTCTTGCCTTTCATCCCCACAACCATTTTGCACATGTGGAAACAGAAGGAGCTGAGACGGCAAGCGACTTCCCCAAAGACCGTTATCACTCAGCCCGATGCATCCCCTAGCACGGACACATGCGGCCCCCACGTCCTGCCTGTCCCACGTGGGGTCCTCGCCAGCAGCTGTGCTGCTTCCACTCCACCTGGCTCTGATTAGATTCTCGAGATTTTCAGTCCGGTGCCTGGGCCAGCACATAAAATCTTTATTTTTCCCATCCAAATTAGTTCCTGGGGAGACCCCGTGCCCTCCCTGGCTTTTATGTGCCTTGACTTGGCTCATGAAATGAGAGACGTCACCCTAACAACCCCCTCCTGTTCTCCAGCGAGACGGGAGGAGTCTCTCTGCTCCTGGCTGCATTCCCCTACCTGGATCACCATGAAATGTTATTTCCAATAGACCAAGCGACTTAACGGCTGTCATATGGCACATATCAGGTGGAATCATCTGACTTGCTCCATCCCATCATGTTTCATGGACCGTGATTAGCTGCGACACTCCAAGGCACACAGCACAGACTTGCCTGCGACTCCCCTTAAGAAAAAATGGCTTTGCCTGACCCCAGAGGTTGGCTTTTATTTTGTTCCTTCATTTTATGTAGTCGGCCTTGTGGGAGTGGGTAAGTCTGGCAGCTGCTGATCACCTCCTGATCGCACTCCCAAGCCAGGCTCCATGGAACTGCAACTTCTGACTCAAGCTAGATGATTCTCTATGACTTTGCTCCAGTTGTATGAAGCCTGGTTCCAGTTTGAAAAGATAAGTCATTATGGAGATAAAGCCGATTATCAGATAAAGCCGATGACACTATCTCAAGACATTTGGGGATGAGTGGCTCTGGCTCATGGGCACTGAGGGCATCCTCATTCATTCATCCATTCAGCAGATATCCACTGAGCACACTCTGTGCCTGGTGTGTTGGCACCAGGAGTATGTTGAAACGACTAAGATGCATTTACTGCCTTTAAGGGTTCCATCACCTAGAAGGAGTCAGGAATGTAAATGAGCAGCCAACAAGATCACGGCCATTATGCAAAGACCAGAAGGCCTGCAAGAGACATCTCCCGGCCCTGGCTGGCCCCCTCTTGGCTCTCTTTGGCTCTAGGTGATGGATTGGAATTGGTCTGAGCCCCTCACAGCTGCTTGTCCCCTTTGTCAGTGCCTTGTTTCCCAGACTTTCTTGGGTCTGGTTGGCATTGTGGCACCAGAAACGAGGCTTGAGTTGAAGTAGGCGGTCAGTTTGTAAGAAATACTTTGCTCTCCTGAAAAAGAAGACTATATTCATTGGCTTCCCCTGTTCCTTTCTTGTCTTGAAAACAACACGATGCTTCAAGCTGCAGCAGGCATCCTGAGGCCGTAAGGCCACCGACCTGAGGACAGAAGTGGAAGTGCTTGGAATTCCAGAGGGGAAGGCAGGGAGAGCCTCCATCCCGGCCGGCACTGCTGAGCCATGACTTCAGCCATACAGCACCCACACCCTCCCTCCTCAGCGTGTGAGAACAAGAAGCTTCTATTTGTCTAAGCAACTGTTGGCTGGGTTTCTGATACCTGCAGCCCAAAGCATTCCAGTCTAATAGAGGATTTAGTACTTTTTATGTTGAAGGTCCTGGAAAATCTAGGCAGAAGGGGTAAAAAAATGCACAAAGTCCTTTGTCCTCTAAGGTCTATAGTCCGGGGACATGTAGTGTGGGACTGTTGACATTCATTTGTGTCCTTATACCCTGGCAGACAGACCTCCTTGCCTTTCTAGGAGCTTAACAGCTTTAGCCTCCAGGAACCGAGGGAGGTGAATGAGACTTCTCACATCTGCTCAGGTTCCCGACACCTCTCTGGGTCCCCATTCTGTCCTTTCACCAAGTTAAGCTGTAAGAATGCAGCACCCACAGACAGTGCCTCTCCAGCCTGTGTGCTGTGCAGCGTCCAGGCATCTTCTCAAAATGCAGATTCTGATCCAATCGGTCCACACTTGGGCCTGAGTGTCTGCTTTTCTAGCAGGCTCCACGTGGTGCTGACACTGCAGGCCTGGGGACCACACTGCGTAGCGAGGTTGTGGAGAGTGGCCAGCTGCTTCTAGGACCGCCCCACTGTGGTCAGTACTGCCCGTCTACCCTTGGAAGCGAAGTCCAATTGAGTATTCTGTACCCCAGCTCACTTAACTGGAAGGCCCATGTCCTGATTTTTTAAAATTGTGCCCTTCTACAGCCTGATGAGGCTTCTCAATTGTGGATTCAAAATCAACTCCCTGGGTTTTGCACAGATTCAGAGTGGCCAAGTGTCCTAGTTTGCACAGGATGAAGGGCTCCTGGGGATGTGGGACTTTCAGTACTAAAACCAGGAAAGCCCCCTGCAAGCCGAGAAGAGTTGACCATCCCACATAAGCCGAAGGCTGTGCGATTAGAGGGGAGGCAAGAGGACTCAGGAAGGCCTTGGAACCCAACAGGGTGAGCGCCAGGGCTCAGCCAGGGCTGAGTGCGCACCAGGGGAGTATGGGCATTAGCCACAGTGCTCCATGCCAGAGAAGTGTGCAGACCTCCCCTTGGGGATTTTCTCTGTCATCCTAGAGCTGGGTCTGGCGTCTTGGCTTGTGAGGAACAGAAACAGCGAGCTCCCCCCGCACTCTGGCCTTGCTGTCACCATGTGGGGCTAGAGAAGGCCACGCTGTCACGGCCCCTCATGAAGCAGTGAAGACTTGGGCTGGGACAGAATGAGGTCATGGGTCCTGGGCACCTCCTGGGTTTGCTGGCGCTTCCCCCGCCTTCCACCAGCCCTGGGCGGTTAATGACTCGCTCAGCTCCTTAACGAAAAAAATATGTGCTGGCTCCCAGCTGAATGCCCTTAATTTGTCTCATTTGTGCCTGAAGCACAGGGTGTGGGTAAACTGACGTTAAGCAAAAAGGCTATTACCATGATGCGATGGCCCTCTGGCAACGTCTCTTCTAAAGCCTTGTCCTCTGCCTAACAAGGAAGGCTGCCAAGGAGGGCCGTGCTAACTTGGAGATTCCAAGCTGTGGCCCGCCTCTGCCTGTAGACTGGTTTTATTCTGTGGTCCTTAGAGTGGTTTTGTTTTTTGTTTTGTGATCTTAAGAAGTGGCTGACATTTAAAGATGGGAAGATTTCAAATAAAAATGTATATTTCTAATCTCTCTTGAAAAATCCAGCAACACTGAGTCCACCTACTGACACAGGAACAATTAGCTGAGGACAAGGACAGCTGCCCTGGCAGGTGTGGTGGGGGTAGAGTTGGGTGGAGTGGGGGAGGGGTGGGGTAGGGGTGAGGAGGGGTGGGGAAGGGGTGGGGTGAAGTGGGGTGAGGGTAGAGTTGGGTGGAGGTAAGGGTTGGGTGGGGGTGGGAGCCCCCCCAGACAGCCTGGCCCCATGACTTGGTGCAGGTGCTTCTCCTAATCATTTCTTGTCCTATTTTATTAGGTGAGAAATATTAAGGATGCTATTTGTTCTGTCATCCACACATTATCAGTATTGGAGTCACTTTGACAAATAATTTCTGATTCACTCGCTTTTGGGAGAGAGGGCTTCCCACACAGGCAGGACTCTGGACCAAGGCAGGACAGGCAGCATCCGAAGTCCTGGAGTAGAACTTTAGAATTAAAGCCTTACATCATTTTCATCATGTAAAAAAGTATGAATTTATTGTGAAAATGGGTATGACTTTTTCACAGTGACATTTGGAGGAAATAAAGAGAAGTCGTTAAAGGAGTGACTGTTCTGTTACCTCTGGGCATCCTAAGAAGCTCTCCAGGAAAAGTGAGCCGGCAGCTCTGACATCTTTCCCGATGCAGCTTTTCAACAGGAAACGTTCACTCAGGCATTGGTGGGGGTGACGTCTGCTCTTAGTGTTGCAAAGACGCAGTTCTTGGAAGGCAAAACTGAAGCAAGTGAAGGATCAGGCTCCTCTCATTATCTGATTTGTTATTTTTATTGTAGAAGCAAATTTAATGGCATGAAAAAGATGGTAATATAGAGATACATGAAAATTAGCAGTGCACATTATCCTTACAAGTAGGTGTATATTTAAATGTGTGTGTAAAAAGAAACATGAAAAGCTGCATGTCAAAATGCATTTAGCAGTTATTATTGGTGGATAATTGGATTACGTTTTTTTTTTTAATTCTTATTTTTTAAAGGAGCTTGACAGTCGATTCTGTTTCCCAGGTTTAAGGTTCCTTCAAACTGTTCAACTGAAATTAGCAAATGCTCACCAAGGACCCAGGTTGAGCCCCCAGTGCTTGCCAGAGATGGTTAGTAACCATAGCGATCGTAATGATGACAGTGTCGTGATGGTGGCATCACAAGGTAGGACTATGTTGGGCTGTATGTAATAGAATTGAAGTAGTACAACCCTCACCAGGTGGATCTGAGGGTTAAATGAGGTCAGGCATGTAGCTGAAATTGAGCTTCAATCCTCCCACCTGCTTTATAGCATGAAGCCCAGGGATGGGCGATCCTAACAGTGGCTCTACAGTGCTGCTGAAACCCAGCCACCTTCTTTTCTCTCCTCTTACTCATCCTTTCAGTGTGCTTTTCATCCCCAAAGACAGCAAAATGGCTGCTTTGTCTCCAGACATCACATCCAGGGTCCAAGAAGAAAGGAGGGAGGATAGGAAAGAAAGGAAATTCGGAAATCTTTTCCTATTGAGGAGGGAAACCCTGCCAAAGGACTGTGACCATGGTCACATGGTCATTTCTAGATTCAAGGAGGTCTAAGAAGGTGAACGTTGTTTAATAACAATTCACTGTCTGAGTAAAATTGAGATTCTGTTAGCGAAGAAGAAAAAGAAAGTGGATATTGGTTGAGGACCTTGCAGTGTTCACTCCAAACAATGGCGGTCATAATATCATTTCCTACGAGTTTTACTGCATGCTGAGAACTGTGCTGGATGCATTAATGTTTTGTGTCAAACATTAATAACTATTATTATTTCAGATCACAGAAAAAGAAACAGAATCTCAGAGAGGTGGAGCCAATTGACTGAAGCCACACAGAATATCAGCTGGAGGCAGGATTCTAACACGATCCCACCTGAGTTCAGACATGCGCACGTAATCCCCAGCACATACCAAGAGAAACAGACATTCAACATATCAAGGGATAGGCGTTTCTCCCCGAGCCCAGACTTGTGGGCTGTGGCTCTTGTGTCCCTTAAGACCAGTGCTTCTGGAACTGTAATGTGCATCGAATCACCCCAGGATCCTGTTAAAATGCAGGTTAGGGTTCCTGGCTGGGCCTGAGATTTTGCATTCCTACAAGCTCCGAGGCGATGCCCATGCTTGTAGTCTGCAGACAGTACTTTGAATGCCTGAAACTACCTCCCAGACATGTCCCACCTTCCTGGGACTGGCCTTCTGGTTTCAGACATGTGGGTGATTGGCATTGAAATCATTCAGTGCACATAAGAAATGCGCACAAATGCAGTGCTCCAGGGAAGAAAAAACGCATCACGGGACCCAATAGGAAAACTGCCACGCAGCGACACCAAGCCAAGGAGAGCTTTGCTCCTGCTGCTTTCCTCAAGGAGGAGCCTGTTTCCTGCCGTAAGTGAAGTCTGGGGTGCAAGAGACCAAGCAATGCACCTCAGACCCAGAGGATTCACTGAGTTTGATGCTCCCAGAGAGTCGGCTCCATTGCCAGCATCTCAGGAACCAGCGGGTCGTGACTTCTTTTCTTTGGTGGTAGGATGATGATGTTAATGGTAATGATGACAAAGATGACTATGAAGTAGAAGGGGATTTGAAGAGGGAGAAGTAGAGGAAGAGAAGGAGAAGGAGCGAGGTCATCAGAGTTTGTTGAACACTTGCTACATTCCTGACCTCATTTAACCCTCAGATCCACCTGGTGAGGGTTATACTACGTTTATTCCCATTTTACAGATGAGGAAACCAAGCCTCAAGGAAGTTGAGTCTCCTGTCCAAGCCTACGCAGTTGGCAAGTTGCAGATCCGGAGTACAGTACGAGACTCTCTCATCTGTGTCTCCAAGGGACACCGTGACCCATCATGGCCTCTTTCCGCTGGGTTCAGGCATAGTCTCCGAATTCTTCCTGTGCCATCACCCATGGCTCCGCATCAACCCCACCTTTGCAGGTAGCAGGTGCTATCTACTGCCAGCCTGAAGCCAGGCTAAGAGGAAGAAAAAGAAGGAAATGCCTGTAGAACCATCCTATGTAAAGAACACTTTGAGGTCAGAAAAAAAAAATCGCATGTTCCACTTGTAGCCTCACCCTTCACTAGGTACAGCCAGTTCTGCTCTGAGTCTTGTTTTGAAAACACAAATTTGTTCTAGTGTGATTGACATGTTAGCGGATAATTTGAGCATGATGTGATTTTGTCCTCAGGAAATGGTAGGCAAATGCAGAAAACTGCATCCTGCTCAGTCAAGCCCTGCAGGAAACACACACACAAGCATGTGCACACACACAAGCATGTGCACACACACGTGGCCCTTCAATGTCACCTCAGCTGTGGGTTAGGAGCTGCACCTGTCCGCACCAGGTGTTACAACCTTCTGCTCCACCTCTAGTAAGCCTCCTTCCTCCTTTGCAGAATCACTTAGAAACTGTAACTCTCCTTGTGCCCTGGTGCACAGGTAAATTCAGATCTTTCCCAGGGTAAGTGCCATGATTACTGTAGGGTTTATGCGTTTCCTACGAGTTTAATGTGTGTCAGACAGTGCTGTTGTTTTATTAGGCTTCTATTTTTATTTTTACTGTTACTGGTAATGTTTTGAGTGTTGTACTCCTAACCCCATTTTTGCCATAAGCCCCGTGTGGTATGGTGATTTCTAGGAACCATATGTCACCTTACAGATCGGATCATATATGAGTTGGGCTCATCACCTGGCTTTCTGGGAGTCTCAGTTTCCCTATTTGTGAAACGGACACAGTGAAACCCATCTCCAGCTCACAGAAGAGAATAAAAAGAGCCCTGGTCTTGGAACCTGAGGGCCTGGGCCACAGGTCAGGCTCCAAGGCCCACTGGGCCACGCTGGGGACTTGGGTTCCTGAGATCTCTGAGTATCGGCTTCACTGTCTGCTGCAAAATCACCATGTGTCCCACCTTGTCCACCTCACAGAACAGCTGATGGCTTGGAGGTGAGCTCTCAAATGTCAACAGGTTTTGCAGACTCCAGTGGTCAGCGTTATGTGAGCAGTTCAGACTTTCTACAGGGATCTCAGGGGCCCAGGGTCACGTAGACCAGAACTTGACCTGGAGGCTGGTGTCTCCCAAACTGTTGTGTGGACCCTGCAACCGCTGGAGTGTCCTCATCTTAACAGTCCCTGCCATCTCCCAACAAGGGTGTCCACTGGCCCTCCTGGTTGTCCTGTGAGGAAGGCAGGAGTCACTGATGCTGCTCTGTCAACAGGGACAGACGGATTACAGCTGGTAAGTGACTTGCCCAGAGTTCTGCAGCTTGGGACTCACAGAGGAGAAGCTGGAAATCAGGCAGGGTGGCATCCAGCTCTCTGCTCCTCCTAAGCCAAGCTTTGCAGCAAGGTCCTGCTTCCCTCATGACCTGAACTCATTTTGAATGTAAAGGCAATGTCAAAGCCCCACAGCTATTTATAACAGAGTATGTGTTCTTAGTTCACTCCTCAGAGAGGAATATTGCTATTGTGAATACACAGCTACTCATAACTACCATCTTAAAAATCTCTACTCCAAACTATTTACTAATGCATTTAGGTATTTATTTTCTTGTAGTGAAAGGAAATCAAGATAATTCTAAAACTGTGGAAGAAAACAAACAAACAAAAAAACTATAAAGGAGAAAACAGAAGATTCACATATTGTAACCATTATTAATCTCGAAATATTTTCCTCCAGGCTCTTGTCTGTGATATGCTTATGCTGAGTGATACTGTGCTGTGTATATGCGGTTTGTACTCAATGCCAGGTCATAAGCATACCATTTCCTTTTTATTAAAAAAATACTTGGCATACATCAAAGTATGTTTGCATTAAAACTATGCAAACATCAGTTTTAATAATTGTATAAATATTCTATCATAAGGACATTCCATAATTTATTTAATCACTTTGGTAGTGTTGGACATTTAATTTTTTAAAAAGTCAAGTAATGCCATGATTAATGCCTGCTTATATGAACCTGTTTTCATTTCCTGATTATTTTCTTGGGCCAGATTCCCAAAAGTGGAATTACTGAATAAAGTAGATAAGTGCTTGTAACACATTTCTTCACACACACACACACACACACACACACACACCCATCAACAAATTGCTTTTCCTGAAGAAGCTTCCAGTAGCGTATTAGAGAGCCTGTTGCACCACCCCATCCTCAGCAATGAGAATTTCTAATCTTTGTTACATTAATTTTTTGGATGACATCTCGTTTTGTTGATTGCATTTGATTAACTCAAAATGTATTTCTAAACAGATTTTTCACTAACAGCATGTTAAAGCCTCTACGCGACTATCACAGCTGGATTTTAAGGCTTGTTCCTCGTGAAGGGAGACATGAGCTCGGCTGAGCCACGGCGCTGTCCAGCAGTCATCGCAGTTATGTCAGCTGGGCTCTGGCCCCGGGGGAAGGGAGATTGCTTTTCTATTCTGCAGCAGTCTGAGCTCTAAGACTGCACTAGCATTGGAGAAACTGTTCAAGCAGCTCTGGTCCGGGTTTTTAGGCCACATGATTTGAGGCTGCTGTGATCTGGATGGTCCCAGCTGCCGGTTCTGGAGTGCATTTTGCCCAGAGGAGTAGTTTGCGTTCCACAGGGTGTGATGGGTCCATTGCATGGGTCAACAAACCTCTGAGGCCACACAGAGGAATGAAAATATTATAAGAATATTATAATATTTTATATGGTCATAGTCCCAGCATGTCTTTTCAAGGGTTACACTAAATGGCAGAATCAGGGCTGAAAACTGTGGGTGAGTGGCTGAGTCTCTGGCTCTGGATATCTTTTTTTCTTTTTTAGCGATGGGGCCTCGCTTTGTAGCCTAGACTGGAGTACAGTGGCCATTCACAGGTGCTGTCATAGCATGCTAAAGTTCCAAACTCCTGGGCTCAAGTGATCCACCTGCCATGGCCTCTTGAGTAGCTGGGAACACAGACACATGCGCCGTGCCCAGGTAGCTTTTATGACCCCATTTGACACTAGTGTGGCTTTCACTCGCCAGTCAGCAGACTCACCAGGCATGCTTTTTCTTCCCAGGACTGCACCCATCTCTTGCCCAACCTCAGGAGCAGTCTTGGTATTTATCAATCAGTAAACAGTCGAGCCAGCACCCGGATGACATCTCTTTAATGCTGCAAGTTGGAGGTGTTCCCTTTTAAAATGGTGTTAGATTCCATGCAAGGGGGATACAGGATATCAAACAATGAAAACAGTTGCCTCTTGGGGACAAGGGTGGGGTTTGTGAAATGGTAAGTGTGTGAGGCAACAGGCTGATGAAAGGACTGTGGCATTTGGAGTGAGGAGACCCTGGTTCAAGCCCAGCTAAGTAACTTCAAGTAAGTCAAAAGAAACCTGACCTTCAGGGTCCTCACCAGGGGGTGATGATTAAAATGCAGCAATGTGGTAAAAGCCTCCTGTGCTCAGCAAAGCAGCATCCAGACATGAGAATCCCAGAACCATCACCATGGTGATAAACGTGCTGACAGTGAGGGTACCGTGGTCCACCTTCCTTCCTTTTTGTTGTCAATTGAGATAGAGTCTCATTCTGTCACCCAGGCTAGAGTGCAGTGGCACGATCTTGGCTTACTGCACAACATCCGCCTCCTGGGTTCAAGGGAGTCTCCTGCCTCAGCCCTCTGAGTAGCTGGGATTAAAGGCACCTGCCACCACACCTGGCAAATTTTTGCATTTTTAGTAGAGACGGGGTTTTGCCATGTTGCCCAGGCTGGTCTCGAACTCCTGGCCCTAAATGATCCACCCACCTTGGCCTCCCAAAATGCTGGGATTATAGGCATGAGACACCTTGCCTGGTCAACCTTCCTTCCTTTGGTTTTGGTACAACCAACCTTGTTTGTAAAGTTGTATAATGTGTATCAAAATAGGTATATTTTGTATATGTGCATACACTATATGTATATATTGACATTTATCATATCTTACTAGAATGCTGCAAATGAACCGGGCTCAACAGGCCAAAAACCAGACCCATTTTCTACCTCTACTCCAAACTAGTCATGGCCACAGTGAATTGCACCATCAGAAAATTAGAAGTGATCCTCTTGAATCCACGTGTCCTGGCCTTGTTGATTTCACTGCCTGAAGGTCTCTAATTCATTCACTGTTCTCCTACCCGTCTTCTCCAAATGGCTTGCACTTCTTGCTTGGATACTCATGTCTCCCTCCTAACTGGTTTCACCCTCTTCTTTCTGGTCCTCCCTCCCCTCACTACAAATTCTCCCATGCAATCTTGTCACACACACACACACATTGGATATATCATTCTTGGCTCCTCAATGCTGCTGGATAAAGCCCAGGGTCTGGAGCATGACCCTTGAGCCTCTGCTGTGGTCCAGCCCCTGCCTCCTTTCCCAAACCCTCGTCCTTGTCCTTGGAGGGTGGGACCAGGGCAGGGAGAGGCCACAATGCAAAAATGGAAAGGGGTGGCAAATTACTCAGAGTCAAGATCAATAATGCAATATTTAAAACATAAAAATTAATGCAAAATATATGCAGTATTAAAGTTTTAGATCAAGACAGGCTTCCACCTGCACCTGCGTGACCCGCCTCACTCACCTTACCCTGACCTTGGCCTTGTGGGACCCTGTCCTGATTTTAACATTTTAATATGTTATTAATCATGAATATTTCACATCAATTGTGATTGTTTTCTCAGTGTTGCATTAAAGTCATTGAACTGTTATTTATCTTGATCACTGAGTTTTTTTGTGTGTCCTTAAATTTAGGGTGCAAGGTGAATGCCTCTCTCCACTCTCTTCCTGGACCAGTGACTTTGCTTTCCGAGCTTCTCCCAGATTCTCTCTCTCACAGCCTCTTGTTCTACTGCTGAGCATGTATTCAGAGACCTGCCTCAGCAGGCTGCCATCCACTCATGGTGCGGATCTCACTGTCATCCTGACCCTTCGACCCAGCTCTTGTCCTTCAGTACCGCTGCTCCTTGTGAGGCTCACTGGTTCGCGTCTGTCTCCACCACTGGGCTGCATCGAGCAGGTATTGGGAACTGGAGAATCTCAGTGCCAGACACATGGAAGCATGAATGAAGGAATGAATGAATGAGGCAGCATTGCTAGAACTCAAGATTTTATCAATGAACCCTCATGGTGTTGCCATGTTCAGATAATTAGACTCAGTGTCATTTAGAATTTGAGAATCTAAGCACTGTTGAGTTGTCCGGGAGGGATATCTTGCCTGGTCTAATGCATGGAGCTCATCGTGGTTCATCTGCAATTCAAAAACCTTCTTACAGACTTTGACTCACCGCTGGGTCTTGAAGGAGGAATGAAATGGAAACTATCCAAACAGGACTGCCACGGCTCTCTTCCTCCAGGCACTCGCCTGTGATTTGCCACTTGATCCCCCAGCTGCACGTCTACCCTAGCACAGAGCCCAGCACTTGGCGGCTGCTCAGTCATATTCCTTAGATCAAGGCCTGTGCAGCTAGCTTTGCTTTTAACTGCAGCATGGAATTTTAACCAGGACAAAGGCCACCTCAGTGCATTGTTCTTTTCGGCTCTGATGTTTAGGAATCTTAAGATGATAAGAGTGCATGTCTCCTGCAGATTCAATAAGCACATATTCTGTCTTTGAATCTTTTCATCAACAGCTTAATTGGAGCTTCTTTAAGATGTCTACCCAGATCCCACTAAAGGTGAAAACAAGGGCTTGTATCCCCAGGACCCGGGTGGGTTTTATCTTAAAAACTCTTCAGTTTTGCATTCTTCTCTGATCTTTTTTGTATCTTTTTAACAGAAAAATTAGTTCCTCTTCCAAGTCTTTGGGCAAAATTTACACCCCAGGAAGATAAACTCTGTTTTCCTCATGTTTTGCCTGTTGCTGGACACTCCCAGGGCCAGGCTGAGGGTGAGACAAGTGCCATGCTCAGGGCTCACAGTGCAAGGGTCCTTGCTCTTAGAGACCGACCCACGCATGCCTGAGTCTGGAGGTGACATTGCTGAGCATTTTGCATCCCCGTGCCTTGCTTGCCACATCCTGTTCCCAGCCCTGCCCGCGTCCTGCTGTGAATCCCATTGTCAGAGATAGGAGCAGACCCTCAAGCTCAAAGGTGGTGACAGAGAGTTCTGTCTTCCTGACTGCCCCACTGGCTGCCCTAGATGTCAATTTCACATGCATCAAAACTGAGGAGATTCTGACAAAACACCTCCTTGAAGATCTTACATGGGACTGTTGTGTAGACGACGAGGTCATTTGCAGTGTTATCATCCATCACTTATTTATTTATTTATGGAGACAGAATCTTGCTCTGTCGCCCAGGCTGGAGTGAAGTGGTGCCATCTGGGCTCACTGCACCCTCTGCCTACCTAATTCTAGCGATTCTCCTGCTTCAGCCTCCCGAGTAGCTGAGATTATAGGCATGTACCACTGCACCCGGCTATTTTTTGTATTTTTAGTAAATACAGGGCTTCGCCATGTTTTCCAGGCTAGTCTAGAACTCCTGACCTCAGGTGATCCACCTTCCTCAGCCTCCCAAAGTGCTGGGATTGCGGACATGAGTCACCATGCCCGGCCCCATTCACTCATTTATTTATTTTTAAGAAGTCATTACCGAAATGTAGCCCATCCCCAACACCTGCATGCTGGATGTTAATGCTAGACAGTAAGACCACAGTGGGGGCAGACAGACCAGGGCTCTGGCCAGGGCCCTGCATTGCAGTGGCTTTGCTGTATTTGCATGAGCACAACCAGCCCGGAAAAAAAGAGTCTGTGTCTCACTGAAGGGGTGCTTCTTCCTGGGTTATGCTCAGGCATTCCATTTCTGCATTTGCAAAGCTAACTGGTCCTCAAGGGGTGCTTGCTCCAGGAGCCAAACAGACTTGGGAAGCGCAAGATTTGGGGCCCTGGAGCAGGCTCGGGATGCACATTTGAAGCTTAGACTCAGGTGGGTCCTGCGGGTCAACCCTGTCCGGCCTTTCCGCATCTGGCCCTTTTCCTGCAACATCTGTGAACATCTGGCCAAACAGGGTCTGCCAACCTCACTTTCCAGAATGCTGATCTCAGACTTTGTCTATAGTTTGTTGGGCTCTGCATCTTCATCACTGTCTATATTTGAAGGGTGGAGGGCTTACCTCTCTTCTCCTTTAGAAAACCTGTGAAGTCACGTGGACATGGTTTAACCACGTCTGGGGGGATGTGTGCTTGAGGGAAGAGGTTGCTGGGTGC